GATCCGTGTGTGCAAAGCTCTGTTCCCACATACACACACTTTTTATTCTCCATCCCCTGCCATTAAAACAAAGTGCTCTGAGTGTGGAACGGTGGAGCATTAAAAAGCCATTAATCATTGCTTTGTACTCCTTGAGCTAAATGCTAATTTCAATTTACAGCCACCTCTTCAGTTCCCCTTCAGCAGGGGGACTGGCTCTGTTCCTAAAGGCCAGGACAATGAGGGAAGGGGGAGAAAGTCACCTCAGGCAGAGACAGCAGGATGTGGAGGGGCTCCCTTGGGACACCATTCTTCTCTTCCCTCCTTTCCCTGTATTTACGTCGGGAATTAGATTGTCCAGATGGAGGAGCTTTCAAACTCTACTGAACGAGAGAAAGGCATTTCCCAGCTGCTCTTAAAAAAAAAATAAAATAAGAAAGGAAGAAGAAGATGGCTGATTACTCATGTCTGGCCCAAGGGGTAACAATTATCAGCATGTTGGTTGATTGGGGAAGAGTCAATGGTGAGGAAATAAGGAGAAGATCACCTGGTCTTCTGCCAGCCACTTTCCACCTTCTGTGGAGATGATTCCTGCCAGTTTTGGGAGACAGACACATGCCAGCATGTAGGGAGGACCAGGACTGGAGCCACCCCATCAGACTTGCAGGTGAGGGGATGGAGAGCTTCAGTGGGTTGTCACTTATGTTGGGGTCCACATTGTCCTTCCTGGACTGTTGGAAAAGCTGGAAGTCACAACGCTCCTGGTTGGAACATCTTCCTGCAGTGCTCGGAAGGAGCTGAGGGGATGGATCAGTCTGAGGGGATGGATCAGTCTGAGGTAATGGATGAGTCCATGAGGTGAGCTGTTCACAGATGATTCAGCTTCCTTGCTCCCAATATTTGACATCACACATATTAAGTCATGGGGTGAGGGTTTGTTATCATGGAATGGTTTGGGTTGGAAGGGACCTTAAAGATCATCTCATTCCAACCCCTCTGCCACGGGCAGGGACACATTCCACTATCCCAGGTTGCTCCAAGCCCTGTCCAACCTGGCCTTGGACAGTTCCAGGGATGGGGGCAGCCACAAATTCTCTGGGAAGCGTGCTGGTCATATCTGTAGGCAGATCCCTGATGAACATTTTGATGGCTCATCCAAGCCTGAGATGAACAGGAATGTTTCACATATAAATCCCTGGAAACCTGGAGCCTTTGTCCAATGAAGAATTAGAAATTGTTTTCTGGCACAAGGGGAGGAGAGTGTGGAAGTGAGGGAGGGGGTCTGTGGAAGGTGATGCTGAAATCACCCCTCAGCTGGGTGTGTTCAGCATGACAGACAGGCCGTGTTCCTCCAGGAATCACAGACTCATGGAAAGGCTTGAATTGGAAGGAACCTTAAAGATCATCCAGTTCCTACCCCCTCCCATGGGCAGGGACACCTTCCACTAGCCCAGGTTGCTCCAAACCCCATCCAACCTGACCTTGAACACTTCCAGGGATGGGGCAGCCACAGATTCTCTGGGAAACCTTTGGTCATGACAGGAAGGAGCTGTTGCATTGAGCTGTAACAGGAAACACCATCAGACTGTATTTCCTTAATACCAAAGCTCAGTTTTCATTATTCTTAGTGTCTACAAGGTCTTTTGCCTGTCCCCACTGTTCCTCATTCCCTTAGGGGTGCCTTATTTCAGAGGATTCATTGCTTCTTGAAGTTATAGTGTCTTATGATGGGACTCGTGGTTACTCCAGTTTTCCCTAAGGAGACATCTACATTTTAATATGTATTTATGTAAATATATATAATATCTAAAATATTAACATATATATTTTTATATATTTAATGTTATATATAAATCTATCCAACACAAACAGGTGAGGTGAACAGCAGCAGGGTGAGATGTTGAGTGAGTGTCCTCAGCCTCTTCTACTGTAAATGGATTGTTTGGTCTCATCTCAAAGTGACAGTGTCAGTGACATGAGTGGGCAGACCAAGAAGGACAAGATCTGTGTGTTCAGGGAATATGAGCGTGTTCCAAGGGCATTTTCCTTTAGGAAGATAAAAAGTTTTCCCATTATCCAGCTCTGACTTCTGCTGGACTATGTGTGGGAGTAGCCGGTGACAGTGACAAAATATTTAGGCCTGGTAAAACGACAGGGTTTTGTCCTGCCCAACCATGTGTTATTTTCAAAATTTGATGCCAGAGTATGTGTTTTGTGAGCTGGAGTGTGACAGAAACTTCTCAGCGTGAGTATGGTCTGTTGGGACAGCACTGGGCTCAATTAGTGCAGCGTGTGCACCGCGTCTCTCTGGAGAGCATCCCTGGGAAATGGTCCTGTCAGCTCGCCCAGATTTCAGCCTGCAGAGAGCTGCTGGCTCATCCTGGAAGGGAGCCCTGGAGCACACGTGCAGGAGGGATGTCCAGGAGACTGGGCACTTCGAAAGGTAAGGCAGAATCCCCACTTGACATTGGATGCTCTGCTCAAGAAGAAAGGACTCTACCTCCCACACCTCCTTCTGTGAGCACCTCTCCAGATCCAGCAGATGGGTCCGGCATGGCACAAACACAATCAGAAATAGCTTTGGCGTGATTTCAGACTGTCTCTTCCCTGGCCATGTGGCCAAGCTGGAAAAACTGTTGGAAAAACTCAACTCTGAGCTTGCAGAGCCAGGATCTCATTAGGCATGGCCGAGAGGAGCACGGAAAACAAACACCTGGCACCATGACTTCTCTTCAGCAAGAAGGGCACAGATTCTGCTCTAAGAGATAAACACAGTGTTTGCAGCAGATCCTCCCACCTGTCGTGGCCTGGTACTGCTAGAAAAGTCTCATTAAAGTAATCAGCTGTGGAGATGACACGGTTTTGCTCCCAGCTTAGGCTCTGAATTGGTATCAGGGGCTCTGGAACAGGCAGCCTGGCAGGGTGTGCACTGTGCATGAGCAATCAGAGGGGTCTCATTAGCAGCGACCTTTGGGAAATGAAAGTGAAGAGAGCAGAGAAGAAATAATAAAAAAAAAAACCAAGTCCAAGCCAGTGGAATGCCTCTGGCTTTGCCTTCTTTATTCATTGCTGCCTGCTTTCTTATTTACTATTTATTTATTTACTTGGAGGCGAGGTGACCTTCAAAGCTGCTGCTGTCACTTGCAGCCTCCTGGTTGCAAGTTGAATGTTAATTTTGGCTGAGGCACTGAAACTCAACGTCCCAGGCATCCTGTAGTGGAACCTGTGCCCCTTATTTTTTGTAAGTTTTGTCATTTTCTGTTTAAAAGCAGGGGGCTGCTTTGGGCATCAGGCTGAATCTGCAGGCCTAAGTCATAAAAGGAACATGTGAGCCTGATGGTGCAAACTCCCCTCATTTTTGTTCTACTCATAGGAGGGATGAGTGGCTATGAGTGTTTCCCATATAGGGACTGTTTGCAGATCCCACAGCAGATGTGGAAATGTTCTGTCCCTCCAAACTGTGTCTTTGCAGAGAACAATCATCCTCCTCCCACAGATTCGATGCCACGGAGTTTATTTTCATTTCTAACAGTCTGTAAAACCAGGCATCTTCCCTCCAGCCTTCTTCACCTACCCAGGAAGTCCACACGGGTCTTCAAGGTGAGTTTAGAGTCTCCAGAGCAGCAAATTCACCACAGCCACAAAATTGTGGAGAATGATCTAGAGAGTGACTGCACTCCCAGTGACATGATGACAGGAGGGACTTCCAGGGCAGGAGCCAAAGGAAAAGATCGGATGTCTGTGGTGTTTGTACCACGGCCAAGATGACAGCAATGATTTGTTGGCAGCCACACACTTCAAGCCAGGGCCTTGAGAGCCAGGCATCTCGTGGCAGGGTCTGTGGTGTGCCCTGGACACTTCCCACCTGGGACACTTCTCTCTGGTTCTTCATTAATCCAAATAAATGCAGTGCTCTGCTTAGTGTCCCAATTAGTGCAGCCTGTGCTGAAGCAGGGGCTGACTCTGGGCTGTTCAGGACAAATAATAACATTTCCCTGTGCTGTTACACAGATGCCACTTCAGCCAGAGAAGGAGGTTTTTTCCTAGGAGTGAAAACTTATCACCTTGGGTCTCACTTGCACACAGAAAATGTTGCTTCTTTGAAAAGGAGGAGAAATGAAGGCAGGAAATGAAGGCAAGCAAAAGAATAAAGGCAGGAAACCAGTTTCTTAAAGGGGAGGTTGGGGTGAATGGTGTACAGTCTTCTTTTTCTAACCTTAAAAATTAATTATGATGAAAATGGTCCCAAACACTGGGATATACTTTAAGAAAAGTGCCACTATGGTGAACACACAACTTAGCTTGGTAAGTCCTACCCATAATTTTGGAGGTACATCCCTCTAGGAGGAGCTATTTCTTTGCCTTGGCACCAGGGCCTGTTTTAGAGATAAGAATAGAATCATGAAATGTTTTGGGTGGGATGGAACCTTAAAGATCATCCAATTCCAACCAGCTGCCATGGGCAGGGACACCTTCCACTAGACCAAGTTGCTCCAAGCCCCATCCAGCCTGGCCTTGGACACTTCCAGGGATCCAGGGGCAGCCACAGCTTCTCTGGGCAACCTGGGCCAGGGCCTCCCCACCCTCAAAAGCAAGAATTCCTTCCAGCATCTCATCAAAACCTACTCTCTTTCAGTTAAACCCATTCCCCCTTGTCCTGTCCCTCCATCCCTTGTCCCCAGTCCCTCTCCAGCTCTCCTGGAGCCCCTTTAGGCCCTGCAAGGGGCTCTCAGCTCTCCCTGGAGCCTTCTCTTCTCCAGGGGAACATTCCCAGCTCTCCTAGCCTGGCTCCAGAGCAGAGGGGCTCCAGCCCTGGGAGCATCTCCATGGCCTCCTCTGGTCCCACTCCAGCAGCTCCACATCTTTCCTGTGCTGAAGACCCCAGACCTGGATGCAGAGAATTCCAGTGATCCACCTCTCATATATCCCCAAAATCCTTAACAGGAACCTCTGTCCTGTTTATTCCTTAAGTCATTACAGATGTTTCTAAACTTTTTTCTGTTTTTTCACTGCAAAAGGGCAGCTTCACTCCTGTGAAGCCTCAAAAAATTACTTTACACTCATACTTGTTCCCCTCCACGGAAATCTTTAGTAAAAGGCGAAAGATTTATACGATATGAAGAGAAACCCGAGCATAATTTTGATGCATTCCACATACACACCATCCCGTGGCTGTCCCTCTATAGCACATGGCGACCCCGGAGGAACCCCAAATTCAACCTTTTGCCACTCCAGCCGGACTCTTCATCACTAAAATTACTAAGATACATGTTCTGATCCCAGTTTTCTCACGAAAAAAATGAGAATTACTACCAGTATTGCACCTCCCGCCCCGCGGTGCACCCTGGGTATGCAAATTACCACGAATACTAATGAGGCTTAGAAAATAAGCTCTGCAGGAGCATCAGGAAAATGTGTTTTTACACATGAATGACATGGGCTGACTCGGCCAAGCTCTGATTTATAACCAACAAACACAGACTCACAGAATGGCTCGGGCTGGAAGGGGCTTTAAAGATCACCTCATTCCAACCCACGTCATGGGCAGGGACACCTTCCTCTAGACCATGTTGCTCTAAGTTCCATCCAACCTGCCCTTGCACACTTCCAGGGATCTCAATACTTTGAGATCCTTCTGCTGATACAGGGAAAGAGGGAATCTGCAGCAAAAAAAAAAAAAAAAAAGACTATTTTTTGTGTCTGTGCTCACTACAGGACAATGTTTGTGACGGGGCTCCTGGCACATGGAGCACATCAGCTCCATGCCTGGAGTGAGATGATCACAGGGCACAGATGTAGCTCTCTGCAAAGGTTTCCTTTTATAGGCAAAAAACCCCTTGGAGAACGGGCAGGAGGGAGAGAGCCTGTGCTGGAAAGCAGCAACTCCAAGACAGCCAGGCCAGTCCAATTATTTGAAGAAAGGTCTTAAAGCAATGCCCTAAATCCATCAGAAGAGTTAATTCAGCTTTTGGATGCACAAACAGGGGCATGTTGAGTTAGACAAGGCAAGTCATTTTACATCTGGGTATGGAGGAATTGGGGCCACCCGGTTCTGATGTCTGTGCCTGCAAGGGAACATCCAATGCTTGGAGAGACATCAGAGGAGGGCAATAAAAATGACTCAAAAGTCTGGAAGACAATCTCTGACCAGGAGATATGTCAAAAAACACCCTGTTCAGTTCATAACAAGGAAGCTGGAGAGACACCTCCTTTGGAGATGTTGGGAGACTCCCTTCAGAGAGGGAGCGAAGTATAACTCAAGTCAGGCTGGAGGGAATAAAGACTGAGGTGAATCAGGGAGAGGATTTAACATGCTGGAAAGGGCTCCCAAAGAAAATGGTGGATTTTTTAGTCTCTTCGGAACAAACTCTGGAAATCAGGCTTTAGTTCAACACAAGACACTGGACCCTCAATGGAGAAAACAAGTGGGTTGTGATATAAAGCAAAGATTAAATAAATGTAAACTCTGTAGGTAATTTTAGGTACATAAATCTGTGAAATCAAGCTGTGAAATTCAGGCCAACAGAAAGATGGTGGAGCCCTTTTCAGGTTTGGAGCGAGGTACAAACTGTCTGATCACATTCAAGGCTCCATCACTCTTGCAAAGCATAATTTTGCAGCCCTACTCCGATCAAACAGGGGACAAATGGCTCCAGGTTTGCAAAGGGAACAGGCTGGAGTAGAAGTAGGTACAGAAGAGTCCTGGAGACTACGACATGCTGCTACTGTTTTTGGGAAGAAGAACAACAGTTGTTTTCCCAGGAACATCTACACTGATTCCATGAGTTACTGGTGCCCAAAACTGAGTGAAGGCTTGTGTGGTCTGGTTTTCTCTGCTACACAACTGCCTCCATCACCTATCCCTGGAGATGGTCCTGGCAGTCAAGAGCTGAGCTTAGTTTTCACCCCCTGCCTTTTCAGGTTTCAACTTGGGGATCTTCATCCTCATCTCTTGTACATGTTTTTTTTCCTCCCAAATCACCATCTCCTCTCTCTTTCTTACAGATGAATATTCTCCTCCCACTCCCACCGACCTGCAAAGGTCTTGTCCTGGCTCTGCAGCCCTGCCAGGCTCATCCAAGGCTTCATGGTCCGCTGTCAGAAATTATGAAGACGTTCCCAATTTCCAGGCTGAGCAGCCAGGATCACATTTGCAATCAGTTTTAATCACAAGTGTAACTGAGTGGATTGCAAGTGATAAGCCCTGTCTGCAGACAGCTGGGATGTAATGAATATGACAGTTCAGAATTGGGGCTGAAGGTTATTTTTGGGCAAGGCAGGGAACCACAAAATTAGACTCGGTGCAGGGGAAAAAGAGAAAGATATAGAGAGTGAGTTCTTCAAACTCACACCACTAAGAGATCCCTCCCTGCCAGGCAAGACAAGCTTAAATAATCAAAATTAATTTGTGGAGGAAGGCAGCCACTGAAAGAGAAATCAAACAGGTGACCACAGCTGGCACAAAATTTCCCAGGATGGGAAGGCAAGAGGGCTGAAAGGAAATAACTCCCAGCTGTCCCTGCCTTCCTGAGCCTGGAGGAACAGGAATTTCTCAAAATACTCAGATGCTGAATGCATGAGAAACAGACCTTTGGAGGAAGGGCCAGGAAAAATCACCTGGGAGCAAACCTGGCATCTTTTAAATGCAGGTTTAAAAACTTGCATTTGCTAAATGCAAGTTCCAGGTTGGCCAAGCAGTGGAGTGGTGGATACCACAGGTCCTGCCTCCTGCCTCTCTTTTCCATGGCCACGGGCCTGCAGAGCAGAGTCCTTGCTCCTGCTCCTCTCCTGCTCTGATGGCCACATCCTGGATCCAGCCTGGACTGCAGTTCACAAGTGCCCTGCATCTTTAGACAGAGGATTAATGGCTTTATACTGAAATAAGGTAGGTTTAGGGTAGATATTAGGAAGAAATGCTCTACTGTGAGTGAGAGTGGGGAAGCCCTGGCACAGGTTGCCCAGGGAAGCTGTGGCTGCCCCTGGATCCCTGGAAGTGTTCAAGTCCAGGTTGGACGGGGCTTGGAGCAACCTGGGCTAGTGGAAGGTGTCCCTGCCCATGGGAGGGGGCAAAATGAGATGTACTTTAAGGAAGAGTCTTGGTTCATGATGTCACAAGATCTCACACAGTAAATCTGTGATCCCATCGGCAGCTAAAGAAGGTCATTCCGGATTTGTCCCATTGATGTGGGAGTGGACACAGACCAAAGGGTTTTCAGGGTTTTGCCTCTTTCTATCCTGCCCTTGCTGGGTTCATTCCAGGCTGTTGGTCCATCCATTCAGCTCTCCTCTTGTCACAATGGATCATGGCATCACCCCTTCCTGCAGCCCGTGTCCTGCTGCACTGCTGGTGTGCTCCCTCCTGACCTGTCACATCAAATCACCGGCTTCGCCTGCCTCCAGCCATCCCTAATATTCAATGAGTCAGAAAAGACCTGAGATCAACCTGACCTTCATCAATAGGATGATGTCACACACTGAATAAAGACACAACAAAGGTTAAAAGCAGCAGCCCGATGTCCTTCCTGATTTCTGTGTCCGGAGCTGTAAACCGTGATAAAAGGATCTGTTCCTAATGAAAATTCAGCTGCCTCTGCTGACCTCAGCCCCCCTGCTGCCTGCTTGGAGACAGGTATCTGCCCAGAGAAGAGCAACCTGCTGCATATTCACTCCCCAAATTAATTCTTCTCCTAAGCCCAAATGGGTGAAAGTCAATTTGAGTGGAGCAGAGGACAAAGGCAGCCAAGAGATTTCACTTAAATCGTCTTTTGTTAAAGATGTACCTGGTGCATTTTTGCCCTAAAATCCCATGAGTCTGTGCTCTTGTTGTCATAGGGAAGTAAATCCCACTGAACTGTTGGTGTGGATTAGCTGAACTGCAAGAAAGCACAGGTATTTTTATCCAATTACAGCATCCTTAGTCTGACTCATCTTGAGCCCTTTGGGCAGAGTTATTTTCCCCACAGATGATAACTCTGTGTGACTGGTCCACCTGTCAACTGCATGAACCACAGGCTCTTACTTCCAAATTCCTGTGTCCAACCCCAGCTTGTGCTGCTCTCCAGCCAAGGGCTGTAAGAAGAAAAGCCAGGTCTAGTGGACTGTCATGCAGGACACATGGGTTGAATTTCCACTGGATGCACGACCTTAAAGTTATCGAATCCTCCCGCACCTCCCTGTCCCGTGTTTCTAAACACAGCATCCACAACCATCTGTTCTGCCTTCCCACCCAACCCACATGTTCCTGAGATGCTTTTGGCACCAGCCTGGGTGGTGCAGCCTCTCAGGTGCCTGTGGTCCCTCCTCAGTCCTGCAGGGCTGTAGGGAAAAGTGATGCCAGAGGCATCTTGGCTTGCAAATGGACAAGGTGAATCCCCAATCTTCAAAAATCACAAAAATTAACCTCTGCCTCGGCCAACGCTCCATGTGAGATGGAGAGAGGGGGAACAAGCCAGGGAACTTGTAGGACTAAGACAAAGACCTGTCCACAGTCATTCCATGACCCAGCTGGACTTGGGGACTCGAGCTCTGGCATTTCTAGTCTGCCTCAAGCTCTTCTGCCTCACCAACAAAAGTGTTCAGCTCTGTCCAGAGCAGACAAGATTCCCACTGATTATTTTTGCTGCTGGAGGGCAGTGGAGTATCTCTGAATCTTCCACCTGCCTGTGTTTCCTTAAACCAGCTCACTGATATCCCATAAGAAGCTGCTGAGTTTTTTCCCTAGATGAAAAGGGAAGGGAAGGTTTGGGAAGGGAAGGGAAAGGAAGGGAAGGGATATGAAACATTCATTCCTGGTCACATTTAAAGTCAATAGAGAAATGTTCATACTTTTAGAACATTTATTTTGGGTTCTTTCTCCCAAAATAGATGCCATAGGCCAGATGTACTATGTCCTTTTGGTCCACTCTTGACCAGTCCCATTCAAAGGGTTTTTTCCTTCTGAAACCTGTCATCCCTTGTTATTGATTTTACTCTAAAGGAGTTACAAATCCTCAACAAACCTGGTTGCATCTGCACTTCTCCTACTGCCACGTTTCAGAAGGATCTCAATACCTTTTACACCAGCACAAAAAACAGTCTCCAGCTGTTTCCAGCTCTCCGAGAACATCCGCCTGGGGTTGGAGATCACAGCTCTGGGG